CCCGCACAGAATTCGCCGTTGACACGGCGCGTGCTTTCCAGCGCAGGTTCGGCAGCACGACAGCAGCTCAGCGCGCGGCGCGGCATTCTCAGTGTCATGTCGAGCATGCCGTACGCAATGTCTTGTAGCCACAGGCGCAGCATTCCCTGCATGTATCTAGCTGAGCCCACGCACCGCCCAGTGTTTGACGCACCAGTGCCAGTCATTACCAGTGCCAACAGGAAACAGGTTCACGACCCCGCCGGGCCTTCCCCGGGACCAGCGTCGCATCCTAGGCCGTCTCTCTGGCGGCCCCAGAGCCCGCGGAGGGCCCGAGCGCGGCAAAAAACAAATAAACCATCTTGGGCCCCCTTCCTCCAGACCTTCACGGCGACCCTCAACAGTCGACCCCCGCCAGGACCTCCCCGGGGGTGCGCTCTGGCCAGGATTTCGAAGGGAACCTGGCCGCGGCGCCCAAAAACGGAAAAGCGCCCCAGAAGCCCCTCGAATCTCGATCCCTCGACCATTTGATCCTCTGAGGGGGGACGTTTGGGGGAAACATCGAGCCTGAACCAGCGATGCATCGCCAATTCGATGGGCCCCCGCGTGCAAATCCGCACGCTCCTGGGCGGGGTGGGCCATCCGGCCTCTATCGGCCATCAATGGGCGATGGGTCGATGCATCCTCCCCGGAGCCGTTCTAGAGACCTCGCAGATGGGGCCCGAGCACGCGGGGTCGGAGGATCGCGCCGCATCGCTGATGCATCGACGATGCGTTGCCGATGCATCGGAGACGTCGGCGGTGCATCGACGACGCCGGCGCGGAGAAAATCAGGGTCCACATTGAGTTGGAGGCCTGGAAATTGGCACCAACACCAGCACAGGGGGGTGCCTTCACATGGGGAAGATGATCCTAGATTTCGGTGCTGGTGGTAATATTTCGGTCACCTTGGAAGCCATAACATTACCACCATCACCGAGATCGGGATCGTCTTCCCTCTGTGGAAGCACACCGCCGATCTTGGTGTTGGTGTCAATCTCTAGGCCCACATCGAGCCGCAGCGCCGATGCCTCGCCGATGCGGCGCGATCCGGCCCCGCCTCCCTCGGACCCCATCCAGGAGGAGGAGGAGGGGGAGGGGGAGGAGGAGGGGGAGGAGGGGGAGGAGGAGGAGGAGGAGGAGGAGGAGGAGGAGGAGGAGGAGGAGGAGGAGGGGGAGGCCTGAGCCTGTCTCCGCCCGACGCTGCCATGGGCTTTCGGGCCGCCCGGCCCTCCGCCGGCCGACGGGGGGCGCTCCAGGAGCGCCCCAAAGGGGAGCGCTCGTCGGCGAGGCGCGGCCGCGGGAAGGGCCACCCCGAGGCGGGGAGCCGCCGACCCTCGAGGAGCACGCCCGAAAACCTCAAAGACCTCGAACCTCGATCTCCTCGACCCTTCTCCCCCCGATCCCGAACCTCACGAGAACAGGGGGAGCCACCATTCCCTGTTTTTTTTTTGTTGTTTGGTGCGTAGTTTTTCGCCAAGTGATCAAGGATGCTCCTCGATGGTCCTCACCGAAGGAAAAATGTACACGTCCGAGCGATGCCAATGTTCCCGGAGGCCATGCGACCCTGAACTGGTGGCTCTCCGTTCCGGGCACTCTCTGGGGGCGCGCCCAGCGCGGGGCGCCACCAGCTCAGGCGTGGGGAGCGGCCAGCGCCCCCAGCTGGTGGTGGTTCTTCCTTCTCCTCCTCCTCCCCCTCCTCCTCCTCGTCCCCCTGCCCAATCCTCCTCCTCCTCCTCCTCCTCCTCCTCGTCTGTCTGCGATGCTGTCTTTGGTGCCCCCTGCTCGGCCGGTGCCGCGCGCGCGGGGGGCGCGCCCAGTGGGAGGGTGAGAACTGAGCCTGTCTCAAGGAGGCCTGCCCCCTCTCACTTCCCCCCTCTGCGCGCCGCTACTGAGGGTTCGTGTTGTGTCGACCCCAGCGTTGGCTAATGACCCCGCGTCGATCGTTGAACCTTGAACGATCGGCGGCTCCTCTATCGTCAACTACTTCCATATTGGCCGAATCAGGGCCACTGGCGGCGTTCAACCTTGAACGCCCGCGCTGGGGTCGCCGCCGGTCGACACGACGCGAACCTGCCGCTACCGACACTGGTGCCGCCATTCCGTGGACCTCCCCCGGGGTGCGTTCTGACCAGGACTTCGAGGCGAATCCAGGCGTGGCGGCGAGGTAGGGGCAGCGGTAGTGGTGCCTTCCGTGATATCCCCCCCCCGAGCGTTGCCCCTGATCCCCAGAAACCCGCCTCCTGGCAGGGCGCAGCCGCTGAAAAGCACTCCCGAAGCTGGAGGGCCTCTGGGAACCGAGGAAGACGGTCGATAAGCCTCGAACTCCAAACTTCGAAGGGCCGCGACCCTCGCACCCGCTTCCCTTCCCTGAGATCCGAGCGCTGCAACTGCTTCACGACGGGAACTGTCGGCCAGCTTCGGGCCCTGGTACCACCCCAACTCGATCTGGCTCGAAACATGCTGCAGAGATGTGGCGCCCGATGCTCGGGTCGGGATTTCCCGCGATGCCAGTCAAACACACATGACGAGGCCCAGTTTGAAGTCTGCCGCGGGCACCCCGCGCCGCAGACATCCACACGACAGCTGGACCGTCAAAACTCAGCAGGGGCCCGCTTCAAAACATCGGCAAACCCCAGCTCCGGCGAACGCAAGTCTTCTGGGATCGATGCGGGGGTTGCCAAGGGCAGTGGGTGCCACGGTGAGGTATAGCTGGCCCAACGTATGTACAGGTGGGCTACAGGTGCCCCGAGTGGCTTATGGGGGGGGGGTAGATAGCTCCGCTCAGTGGGCGGAGCCCGCTCAGCCTGGATGGTTAAACCCTCTCAGCCACAATGGGGAGTCTGTGCCCCACTTGTGAAGGCCTCCTAGACGGGGTCGGAGTAGATGGGGTCGAGGAACTGCGCCGCAACGCCGATACATCGACGATGCACTGGCTATGCATCGTCGACGTGGGCGATGCCTCGGCGACGTCGACGTGAAGCAAATCGGGCTCCGCATCGAGCCGCATCGGCGATGCATCGGCGATGCGGCGCGATCCTCCGACCCCACCCGCTCCGACCCCATCTGGGAGGCCTAGAACTTGCAGTTTGTGCCCCCTTTCGGGAGCGGCCAAGAAGGGGGTGTCCAAAAGGGGGGTGTGCAAATCATGACCGGCGGCACGTGCGCGGCCCAGCGGGGGGGCCTGGGACGTAATGAAATAAGCAGAGGCGCCATGACATCTGAGGAACAATCATGGCCCGCGCCGTGAAATCCCCCCCTGCCCTAATCATCCCCCCCCTCTTTGCCGCTCCCGACCCTTGGCATCCACTGGTGCCCCCCCCTTTCCGGGGAAATAACAGGATTCCCTATATTTTCAATATTTTCTGGGTTTTCGTCTTCCCCCCCACTCCCCATATTTTCGGGGGAATCGACGATCAATTGCGTCCGTGTGTTTCTTCCCCTCCTGAGTTTGTGCTCCCTTGGCATCCACTGGGTGCCCCCCCCCCCCCCCCCCTTATCTGGGGAAACCCAGAGGTGCCCCCCCCTTATCTGGGGAAACCTCTCCTCCTCCTCCTCCTCCTCCTCCTCCTCCTCCTCCTCCTCCTCCTCCTCCTCCTCCTCCTCCTCCTGCTCCTCCCCGGGCCTCTCTCCCGAGGCGCGGCGCTCCGGCGCCAGAGAGACTGTGGAGAGGCGATATGCCGCGGTGGCGAGGAGGGCCTCCTCCCGGGAGGCCCCAATAAGAAGGCGCCACCGCGGCAGGGGCAGCGGTATGGGTACTCCAGATTTCGTAATAAAAGGGGGAGGAGGATGGAGGAGGAGGAGGAGGAGGGAGGGAGGGGAGGAGGAGGAGGAGGAGGAGGAGGAGGAGGAGGAGGAGAGGAGGAGGAGGGAGGAGGAGGAGGAGGAGGAGGAGGAGGAGGAGGAGGCGGAGGAGGAGAGGATCGATCGAAGCTGGGGCGTACTCCAGATTTCGTCATAAAAGGGAGGGGGTCTCAACCCTCCCAGGCGATAGACCCCCCCCCGGTGGGAGAAGCCTCCAAGACATCGTCCCCAGACCCCCCAGGTCCTCCAAGATAGCCTGAAGAGACCCCCCCCCGAAATGAGACCCCCTCCCTTTTATTACGAAATCTGGAGTACAATCATCGGCCTGACCTAAGGAACGATAAATAAGGAACGAAGCCCCGTTCTTCCAAGGAATAACGCATAGGGAACGATGAGCAAATAATGCATAACGCATAGGAACGACACATAACGCATGCAAGCCTAAGGAACGACCGAGCCCCCTTTGAAAAGTAAGTGTTCCTTGTTCAAGCCGCTCACTGTACCTTGTCCTCCTCTGACTCGGCGGCGAGGGAGGGGGTCAGTGACAAGGAGAAGACCTCCTCAGAAGGCGGCGGGACTTCTCAGAAGCCCTCGCGCCCTCTGAGAGGTCTTTCGTGGTGTCTTCGGGGAAGGCCTAGAACGCGTCTCAGAAGGCCTGGGGACTCCCGAGCCTTCCGAGAAGGCCCCGCCCCTTCTCATTCCCCCCCGCGCTCGCCGCCGCCTGGGAGGCCATGTCGACACTTTCGAGCGGGGCGCGGCCAACGAAAGTGGCCCAGGATGGGCCGAAGGCCGAGGATGCAAGGGAAACGCCTCCGAAAGTCGCCATGCTCAGGGAGAGTGTGGCCTGTATGCTTGCCACGCTCGCCGCCGACTGACTATTTGGAGTCCCGAAACGGTGCGGTGACGGACCGCGCGGTGACCTCGAAGTCCCCCCAAGACCTCGCCGCACGGTCCGTCACCGCACGGTCTCGGGACCCTGGAGGCCCCGGCCGCCCGAGCCATCCTCGGAGGACGACCCGAGTCCCAAAACCGTGCGGTGACCCCGAATCCCCACTGGCTCACCGCGCGGTGTGGTCACCGCACCGTTGGGGGGCCCCCCGAGACTGCCTCCCCTGCGCAGCGCCCGCATCGATCCGGAGTCGCGCCCGAGCTCGGCCGGCCGCCCGTGGCGGCACGGCCTCGGCGCTCTCCCTCGGGTACTCGACGTGCCCGCCGCTGGCGCCCCCGGTCCCCAGGATCTGCGCGGAAAGGGGGGGGGGCCGCCGCGGGCGCTGGCGCCCAGAGGCTGGCCCGGAGAGAGGTCCTCGATCCTCGGTCCTCGCTCGAGGATTGGGAGGGGGAGGAGGAGGAGGAGGAGGAGGAGGAGGAGGAGGAGGAGGAGGAGGAGGAGGAGGAGGAGGAGGAGGAGGAGGAGGAGGAGGAGGAGGTCACCACCACCTACCCGCGCACCTACACCACCACTCAAACCCAAGTTGCCAACATCTACAGCAGCTCCAACTCACACACAACAGCAGCTCACCGTTCATAACCCTTGGGGAGACGAACGATTTGACGCTGTACTACCCACAGCCACAGACGGTTCAGAAGACGAAGGCAGCTACACTGACAACAGCGACGGCTACAAGTCTACTCCTACGCCCCTTTTTCTTACGTCCCCACCACCACACAAGGGACACGACATGCACTGCCCGACAAGCTGGGCAGCATACAACGCCAAAGACAGGATCGAACACGACGACGGCGACGAGGTCCACTGGCACTAGGCAATCTACCACAACGCAGCCAACAGTACATACACCTGCCGCTTTCCCAACGATCACCTGTTGCTACCAGGCTGGCGCATATACTTAGACACATACAGCAGCGAGTGCTTCGTCAACAACAACCACCATCAAGCCCTACCTCATCCACCGCTCAGGCCCGACCCCCAGGCGACTCGATTCTCAACGTTCAAGCTTCCACCTACGGTGCCGGCCAGATACCTGACGCTCAACGGCGCAGTGCCGGCAGACTCACACCTTCCACCATGGCGGCCACGATTTCACCACGCCTTCAGCTAGGACACAACACACAGGACTTCGCATAATGTTGATCATTCAATCAGGACTTCAGAGTAGCAGTCAATACCACCAACAGGCGCTTTGCCTCCTTGGTCCAAGCACCCACGACAGTAATGAACGACATTGCCAAGCAGACCGTGCTCTCGGTCTGACAGTGGCTTTGCTCATGTCACGACGACGACACTTTGAAGTACGGCTGGCCGGTACGTGCACACACTACTGCACACTTGTTGCAGCAAATCTGAAACCCAAACGGCTTACCAGGCAACGACTACAACATCCCCACTATACCATCAAAATCTTACAGCAACGACTGCACCACGGAAGACGCACCACAGCCATTGCAACAATCAGCTGCAGACACACAACAAAACACAATTACCACGCCTGGCCAACAACCGATAGGTGCTGACACATCCGCCACTCAACAGCCCAACACCGATTGAATGACCAGAAGTCCAATCCACCCGCCTCCACCAAACCTCAGGATCCCAATCATCTGCCCACCTCCCAAGGCCGCATGGGCAAAACTCTGGCTAGCCGAAATACCAGCATCAGAACTAACATCACAATGCAAATCTACTTCCAACCAAAAGCACTACCGATCCACCTCAACGACGGACACACATGATCTATTCCAATGCCTACAAATACGGGCACCTCGAACAACACTACGTCGAAGACGGCAACGGTCAGAGGTTTTTGCAGTACATAGAGACACTACGACGCCACCAGCAGCAATACCAACACAATGTGGTAGAAGTGCGACAGCGCAACTTACGCAATTCGGAACTACGACAGCGACAGGAGATACCTACTGCACTGGAAGCACCAACCATGCCCAAGCCCAAGTTCCCAGTACCTGAACACAAAGCGCCACCAACACCGAAACCAACGTTCCCCACCGCACAAGCTGACGGCAATGACTACTGGGGATACCACAGGGACCCCACTCGGAGTGGCCTCGACATGACACATACTATACACAATTTCTGGTGCGATACAACAGCCTACAACCACACATTACCACAACGACTGTGAGGCCAAATATTGGGACAGCAGTGCGGCGAGCATCAACTACTATCATATAAAATAGTTTGGCAGAGTCTACGACCTCACATCTTCCACAACTGCGGCTTTCAGAACATCGATTGCCGCACAGCGAGGACTTGTGCTTGCCATTCGCTCTTGCTTAGTCATGATCCTTCCTTTCACCAAGGACATCTGCAATGCCAGTGCCCTCTACGCAACTTGCAGTCGGCTCCTCCTGCTGTCGTCCTTTGCGTCCGCCGTCTTGGCCGTTTCGTCTCTCTTCCTTCTCGCGCCTTTCCCGCTCCTGCTGACGGCCGTTGGCCTCTCCCCCCCCCCCGCCAAGGGTCGCGCCTCGCTGATGGCTGGTGTGCGCCGAGCTCCCGCTTGTCCGCTCGCGGACGCACGGGAGCTTGGCGGTCGCCTCCTGCGGCGTGCTGCCTCTCCTGCTCCCCCCTTTGCTCGCCCCGCTGTCTGATGCCTGCCGACGAGCCGCGCGCGACGTCGCACACGGCCTTCTCGGCCATGCTTCTCGATGCGCTCGGGCCCTGTGCCTTTGCGTCCAGCCTGCGCCAGTGTTTGCCAGCCTGTTGCACCTCTGCCTCCACGCGCTCGTGCTGAGCGGGTCTCTGCCACATAGCAGCCCCAACCTCCTACGGTCCACTGCCCTCGGCCAGGCAGAGCCGGCCCAGCAGAGTGATGATGATGCTGCTGATGGCGATGCGGATGATGATGACGATGCTGACGATGGTGATGATGATGATTATGATGATGCCTTTGGTGATGGTGATGGTGATGGTGATGGTGATGATGATGATGATGATGATGATGATGATGATGATGATGATGATGATGCTGCTAATGATGATCGTGATGATGATGATGCTGATGATGCTGATACTGATGATGATGGTTATGACGATGATGCTGATGATGATGAGGAGAGCTGGCGGCGCGATGTTCTGACCACCTTGCCAGCCTACTGGGCAGGGGGAGGGTGTGGGATCTAGGTGGGTGTGCGGGGACGGGCGGTTGCTCACAGCAGGCCGCAGTTGCACATCTTGCCCCTCAGCATTGCGCACGCACTTTCATTTCAGGCCCGCCTACTGTAGGGCGTGGCCCACACCAGGGAGATGACCCCTAACACATCTAAGCCTCAGAGTCACTGGGTGTTTCACGAGCTGGACCTGACCAGCATTTACGCCCCTAGACCACTCATGCACTCTCTTATACACTGCCTCACACAAGCTAATCAATACCTACCTGGCCAACCTCATACCAACTGCGGGCAACTCTACCACTAATCCTGGCTTTCCTTAACCCCGTCGTCAGAGTTGCAGGTCTCTGCATTTGAAGGGAGAATCAGGGCCACACTGGTGGCCACAATGACGGGGGCAGCCCCCCCTAGGAACTTAGGAACTGGCACGGTGAAAGGGCCACCCCCGAGGAACCGAAAAGACTGACGCGGGCAGCAACCCAATAATTGCCATATTCTTTACTCCGTTACAGGGCCCGCCATCACAGACTGCGCCAGCCCCAGCACACACACGTAGGCTCAACATCTGTACTCTCTCTCTCTCTCTCTCCCCCTCTTTACGCACAATCCTCTGCCCTCTGCCTATCTACTCTTTGCTCCTTGGTGCTCTAAGCCTCCGTATCCTTTCCAGCGCATCAACATCTTTTGCTCAGGCTAGCCGGTACGATCTGGCAAGACTCAAGCCATCGAGGCACGATCTGTTTACCTTAAAAACTCGAATGCTATAGGCCAGCCTATTACAGAGCCAACCTTACAAGTCAGCGACGCGTGGACGCCACCATATTGCCCCGTGCCACATTTTTGCTTCGCACTGATGGGGGGCGGGAGGACTGCGGGGCTGGGGAGTGTCTGGGGTGGGGAAAGGACACGTACCTCAATAGAGGGGGCATTATGCCACCGGCGGTGGCCTGTCGTTCGTGTTTTACTTATCAATCTTTCTTCCGATTCACGGCCGCCCTCATCTGATTTAACTTTCGGTGTCCCAGCTCTTATGCTCCTCTTATATTGTCTCTCTATATTCTACGACACACACACACACCAGCCACTACCTACCTGGCCAACCTCATACCAACTTGTGGGCAACTCTACAGTGAAGCCTGGCTTTCTTTACCTCCCGCGTCACATCCTATTCCACTTGAAGCTTGGCGCCGCCCGTACCACATGTTACTGCTTCATTCTAGCTCGAACCGCCGCCATCCTTGACTTGAGAGTCGGATCGAGTAGGGGGGGATGGCAGGCGGGAGGGGACGAGCCTCACTTTACACTGGCTGCCTGCCACCACTGGAGATAAATGCAGGCCAGCATTTGCAAGCGTGTTTCGATCACTCTGTTCGGCTTCCTCCTCTGGGCATCGGGTATGATGATCCTGGTCTTCGCCTGTCTCTCCTTATCTCTTCGTCGACATCTCCCCCAGTGCTGGTGGCAAGCGATTACTCTGCGCCCCTGAGGGCCTGTTTCTGCAGCCTGTCTTAAATGCACTTCTTTTCTCGCAGCGCTCGCCACTCCAGCCTAACTTGTTTGTTTCTTCGCCAAAGTCGGCGACTTGTTTTTCTCCTTGCGTCACTGACGCAACAAACTCTGCGCTTCATGTCCGATCACCGTCAAACGGAGGAGGATAAGGAGGAGGAGGATGAGGACGAGGGGGAATGGGAGGGGGAAGGTGGAAGGGGAGGGAGAGAGGGGAGGAGGAGGAGGAAGAGGCGGATGATGATGATGATGATGATGATGATGATGATGATGATGATGATGATGATGATGATGATGATGATGATGATGCTGCAGTGCTGCTGCATGCTGCTGAGGAGGAGGAGGCGAGGAGGAGGAGGACGGAGGAGGGGAGGAGGAGGAGGAGGAGGAGGAGGAGGGGGAGGGGGAGGGGGAGGAGGAGGAGGGGAGGGGGAGGTAGAGGAGGAGGAGGAGGAGGAGAGGAGGAGGAGGAGGAAGGAGGAGGAGGAGGATGAGGAGGAGCAGGAGGAGGAGGAGGAGGAGGAGGAGGAGGAGGAGGAGGAGGAGGAGGAGGAGGGGAGGAGGAGGAGAGAAGGAGGAGGAGAAGAAGGAGGAGGAGGAGGAGGGAAGGAGGAGGAGGAGGAGGAGGAGGAGGAGGAGGAGGAGG